AAATGCTAGTTTAAATAACAATTGGAATTTTTGAAAACGTGATGGGATTTGTTTAAGTTTTCTTTGAGCAAGTAAACAGGCAAGTGAAACTGAATCTATTCGAAAGATAAACGCAGGACGAGTCGTTACTCTATATGCGTATCACTTCTAAATATGTTCACAATGTTTACAAATGAATTAGCTTGTTCAACCGATTATGAGTGTTGTTGCTAGTATTTTCTTCAGAATATTCAGATTTCTGAACTTTTTCTAATCTGGTTACTGTCTGTGTGGGAGGTTCGATATCACGATGTTAAGTTAAAACGAACTGTACAAAATAACAAGAATGCTGAAAGTTCACTTAAACATTTCTCTAAAAATGTTGAAGAGACTTCTCGAATGGTTTGATCCGACCTTGAGTTAACGAAGTAAAATACTGTAGCTTAAAAATTTGATTAGTTCGCATAGTAATCACTTTCAAATGTCTGATATACTGGTATCAATCAACAATCAAAAAGCATTGTTGCGTATAAAAAGCTCAATTCTCAAACTGGTCGTTCGATGTCGATTTTATTATGACAAGATACAGAACTCGGAATGATCTTTCACGAAGGAAAGTTCAAATATTCAAAGATATCAAGTGTCTTTTCATTTTAGCAAAACTATGTTGTAGACAAATTATTGTCGAGAAACGTTTAGTCAATTGAATTTATTCTTATACAAGCTTAGCATGAGTTATATTAATGCTTGAAAATGATAACGTATAAATCTTCATGTAATGCATTGAATTTGTGCTATTTTTTCTTTCTGCCTAGTTCAAAATCAAACAGTGGTATTACTGTTGATCGAAGCATTACTTATAGTGACGTGTACAAATCAAAATAATTGATTTCTATCGGTTATTGTCGTTGATATTGCGAAGTACGGTTTCGTTCAGATATCTCTAGTAAATAGTTCTCATACGAAACATTCAGTATAATTACTGCGTGACGCTTTTTTATTGCTCTGAACAAAATAACACTGATGCAATTTCTTTCAGATTTGATTGATTTAACAATGTTTTTAGATAAATTAAAGAGAACTCTTTCAACTGATTGATCGTTGATATATCGACCAGGAGATCGAGTCGAAGTGAATTCGATACTCAATATCAGAATGTTTATGCTTCATGAACATGTAAAAATGCATGAGAGTATTTCTTCATTTGTGATTCTTCGTCGAAATATTCGAATGGATTGATGTAATTAGAAGTGATCACTTTTCTAATCATTGTTCGTAATATAGATTAAAAATCTGTATCAAGCATTAATTGAATAATCACTCTCATCTTTTTTTTTAATACCGTAGTTCGATTTTGATGACCTACGCTCAATGTGACTTTCAAATATCGAATTTTTCTTCCATAGTTCAATAAAGACAAGAAAACTTTGTTTTTTTGAAATTTCAGCATTAAGAAACAGCAATCATTTGTTTTTCTTCGTTCGAAACAAACTATTTGAACTATTGCTCGAGGTTTAAAATGAAATTTTGCAAATCACACAACTGAATAATTAATCAGATTCTTTTATCAAAATAGAGAAAGTTGAGCGTCATGTATCTATGTCTTGCAAATCGTTTTGAATTTTGACTTAGTCTTTTCAAATACCATCGTGAAAAAAATTAACTAAGAAAAAATAACGATACATCAACCTTCTGAAATCAATTCGAAAAAAATATGAGACAAAAAAATGTGAACTTTGTTGGGCTTTGACGAAGTAGAGTAATCAAATTTGATAGAGTTCGATTCTCAGCAAATGGCAAACTTTGATCAATAGTTGCATTCGACTATTTGCTCAATGGATCTTATCGATTGAAAGAAGAAACCAATAGGAACACTAAATCACTTCAATATGGTCTAATATTGACATTGTCTTTTGTGATGTTTTCTATCGACTAATGTATTATTTGATGAATTTGTACTTCTATAGAGTAAAGCCTTGTTCTTAACTTCATAAGTATGTCATATTCATGATTCTTGAGTTTTATGGTGTTGATTTCCTGTTTCATTACAAATTCCAATCTTCAACTTGAATGACGAATATTTCGCTGTATCGGCATGAAATAATCATACACTAATGTAACTCTCTTCAGTTCTTTAGAACAACTGCACAATTTTATACTTAAGAAAACAATTTGCATGACCATTTATGATAATGGTTTATGGTCATACTTCTTGTTGAAAAGAATCAAATAAACGATGAGAGTTTATCAATCAGACTGTTACCAACACTTTTCTTTTAATTAGTATTATGCTTGTGATTCTTTTTTTTTGGCAATGTCATTTGTATATTTTTCTTTCTTTGTTATGTATCTATGTTGATCGAGAAAAATAAAACTTGGAGAAATCGAATCAAAGAAACAAAAGATTCCGTCTCTATTTCAAATAAGTTATACTTATAAAAGAAGGAATAATCAATCGGTCTAGTATCATCAACAATCTATCAATTGCTATGTGACATTTTTTTTTTGCTGAAAGAAATGTAAAATTTATATCAGCTTTTTGTGATTATAAATTTAATTTTGAAAAATTCATTTAACAAGAAGAATTTGTATGAACATAATTTGATAATAATTCAAGTTGAAAACAACCATGATTTAAGATTTAATTAATGATTTTAAATTGGCGTACAAATGAATAGTTGTACTTTGTTTAGATTTTTCATTTTTTTCCAGGACTTATCAAGGAGAAATGAAACAAATGAACTAATTGAGAAATTGCCATCACTTCCTCTTTCTGTAGAAACCAATTTCGTTTTCTTCATCTTTTCCCGTTGGCATATGTCGAGGCTTGCATGAGAAAAATATTGTGAATCATCAACGGTTGTAAAACAAATCGTTTTTACAAAATAAGATCTCAGTTCGATTTGAACAAATACTGTTTTAGTTATAAATGCAGTTTTACGGAGAGCCATGACCAAGACCTAAACTCTCGATTTAGGCGAAGTCTTCCCCTGAAATCTTAATAACGGCTGAGTAATAGACCGTATTAAATCTGTTCATATTTTATTTAGAAGAAACCATTTCGCTCCGAAATTCTGCGCCCTTGAAAATAATCTGTCAGAATTTTCTTCCAGCATTTGACATTACTTCTATGAAAAACAAAAAAAAATGGAATTTTCATTCTTAATAAATACTTATTTTTTCACTTTTTTATGTGAGAAGATTTCATTTTGTTATTGAAAACCTATGCGCGAACAAAAATATAATTAGTATTAAATAAACAGTAGTCATTAGCATCCGCAGTCTGTGATTTTCATTATTAGTCATATGGAAAATGTTTTGATTCAAATACGTATCGGCTCTTAATTACTATTGAGAAATTTATAATACCGTTTTTCTATCTGTTGATTTTGTATTCTTTTTTCTTTCTTCTCTGGATTTTATGCAGAAATAAGTTCAATTTTAAAACCTTGAACATTTTCTAGAATATATATACATTCGGAAGTAATGTATGGTCATGAATACAACGTTATAGAAGTAATAACAACAATACGACTGCTACTCTATGTGAAAAATAAATAAAGGTGCTGAAGCTACAACTTATACTCTTGAAATTAAGAAAAGAGATCTTTTCAATCCATTGAAGAGAACTGCTAAATCATCAGCCATTTGGCATAGCTACTAACATAAGTTGAAATATTCGTTTGTCCAATTAACTTTACAATTCCTGAACAACATCGACACATATTTCTCCAATAAATGCAAATTCATCAAAAAGATAATTAGGCATTTCGACTATCGCATTGAAAATGTTACATGAGATTAGATTCAAAAGTACATAGAAGTGATAAAGATCAAATCTTTGGATGAAGATAATCTGTTTAATGAGTTTCTCAAATTGAAACTGATCTTCGAAGAAAATAAAAAAAGAAAGAAGGGCTTTTGTTTGATCAGATTCAAATTTTTTTCTTTTACATGAAATGGGAAAAGCAGGCTTAGATGATGATTATGAGTCAAGCTGAGTACAATGAAGAATCACAAACGACAATAATTCGATTAGTTCAATTATGGACGATGTCACTAGCCATCATATGCAACACTAAGAGTAAATATGAAGAAATTTTCTTTCTTTCTTGTATACTATTTCAGCGT